TCACTTCTTAATTTAGAGGAAGAAGAAAGTGAGAAAGAGGGATTGAAAATAGTTTGGGAACAAGATATTGGAAAAAGAATAATGAAGAAGAATGGAGGAAGACATGGAAAATGAGGGTTTTAAGATTTATGTCGGTAAGAATAAAGGAAAATTTCTTTAAACTTAGTTTAAGGTGGTATTTAACGTCGGTAAAATTAAACAAAATTAATACTAATCATCCGAATGTCTGCTGGAAATGTGAGAAAGAAGTTGGTACATACTTTCATATGTGGTGGGAATGTGAAAAGGTACAAAGATTTTGGAAACAAATCTTCAAAGAATTAAGCTATATGTGTGGAAAAGATATAGAATGTAAGGCTGAGATTGCTCTGTTATCAATATATGAGAACGTGGAATATGATGAAATGACTAAAGAATTGATAACTAATCTAATAACAGCAGCTAGATTGATTATAGCTACACAATGGAAATTAAAGACTGAATTACAAATTGAAGAATGGTATAAAGGAATATGGAATACAGCAATGATTAACTTGTAATTTAAAGAGTAAGAAAGGAGAGTTGAAAAAGGACAATTTTTATGTAATATGGGGCAAATTTCTGGAATATGTGCTTATAAGAGGGAAAGGGAAAACTCCAAATCAAGAATCTATGCAGTTCTGGAGGACAATAGAAGGAGGAGGAGGAGGAGAAGAATATAGCAAGAGCTCCCCCGTATATGGTGGTGGGGAACACAATTATTAAGTTTATGTTTTATGTATATGATTTTGTTTTTGTTATAGTTACAGAAATAAAAAACTAAAAAAAGAAAAAAAACAATTGTATTTTTCCGTTCATAAGACCCTCCCCCATACTTTTCTAACTCAAAAATTCAGAAAACTTAGCTTTGAATCTCCAGCCTCTGGTCTCAGAATGCTCAGACATTACAAGTCCCTGTTGCATCTGAGCCTACAAAGCTCTACCTCCACGGAGGTGCATTCCAATAGGTTTGTTCAGCACCAGTTCCATAAGGCTCGTGATTGGAGTAAGCCAAGTCTCCCGACTGTAAGAAGCCAAGCCTCAGGAGAGACAAGTAATGGGCCATTTTGTTCTCTCCCCGGCTTGCTTCCGTGTATAAGACATCCCTCAATTTTTAGTGCAATATTTTAGGGGGGGAAATAGTGTCTTAAACACAGAAAAATATGGTATTTTCTCAAACATCCCAGCTCATGTTCTCAACCTGAAGCTTTTCATGGGAAGAGCCTTAAACATTATACGGATAAGGCATGCACAGCTTTCTCCAGTGCTATCGACAAGACCTTTGGGTGAATCGGGGACTTGTTGAGGCAGTAGGAGGGAACGGTGGAGGAAGTTCATCTACTTTTGGAGTTCAGTGTAGCAGCAGACTTAACTTCTGGAACTGCGGCTGAACTTTCAGACTTTGTTCTCCAGTAAACCCACTCACAAACCTCCATGCTCCAGGCATGAATCCCATTCACTTGCCTCTGAGCTTCCTCTACCTTGTAATACCATGGGGTCAGCATATCAGGGAAATTCAAGATATGTGGGACTTGGGTATAACGGAGACCTATGCTTGGTGGGGAAAGTTGGTATTTTTATGTTTGTGTGTGTAAGCCACCCAGACAGTAGCATACCACTAAATGGGCAGGAAAAAAGCCTAATAAGAAATGATCCCTCCAATACCCTTGGACTTTTTCTACTGTATCTACGTTGCAAAAAAATCAACAGATGAACATCCTACAAAACATGCTGCTGTGAAGTACAAATGGATTTATTGGATTGCTCAACTGGACAGCCACCCCATGCTGGGGTTGAATCATCTTAGTCCCTAGGGATGGCTAAATTAATTTATCAGTTTCCTCACTTCCCATTAAGGACTGTTTCAACTCTCTCTCTTCCAGGCTGCACAACAGTCCAGCCATTTGTGTGACATGTGTTGCTCTTGACTGCAGCATCTCTTTTGTAAACCCCACACAGAATAACCACTAAAACGATGGGCAGTATAGAAATATTTTTCCCCTGAAGAACTACTTGTATACTTCTATAATTCAAATTACGGACTAGACTATTGAATGACACTGGAACAAAGGCTTAGAAAATTCAAGGCTAAAAATAAATAATGTAATCTAGTATTTTCTGTGTTTGACTTTTTTGCCTAATGTCCCAGATAGTTTTTAACTATGTTTCTCAAAGTTTAATTACTCAAAATATCTGCTGGATGGAGAATTAGCGTAGGGGAATCACCCCAGAGGGAGACCATAGCTGCGTCATGAGGATCTCTGCAAGCAGGATCTGAAGGCCCTCAACAGATGAGCGTTCAGCCTGGAGGCAGGCAGCGCATCATGGCCTCTCCCAATTTGAAGAGGCACTTGTTCAGCAGGCCAAGGCAAAGAGGCCCGAAAGCAACAAAACCAGGGAGCTGGACAGGGGACAGATTGTATTTGTCCTCAGTGTGGAAAAGATGGTCACTCCCCAAAATGGCCTCCTCAGCCACACCAGACGCTGCTCCAAGTCCTCTATACAGAGCACTTTATCGTAAGTCTCTTGAGACTGAAGGTTGCCTAACCTAAATCACTCATCAAAAAGTTGCTGGTTTAAGCCTCTTTCTGAATAGGCCCTCATGAAGATGCACCTTTAACCCTTTGTCACTTCAATCACAGCATTTGCAATATGGGTGTAAGAATGACCCCCTTGCCTTGTTGCACAGCTAGATTAAATAGAGGACAACCAAATCAGTAATCTAGATCTACAGCCTCCTTCTGGCAGTAACTTTCTCTAAATGTGTACAAGATCGACTTTAAAGCCTTACTACTTTTTCTCAAGGGTATTCCAGAAACACTATCATAAATACAGGATTCTGTGTAGTTATCTTGGTTAATATTCTTAATCTCTCCCACCACCCACACTAGTCAGAATCAGCTGCCCTGGGAGTTACCCACGTTTGGCACTATAAATTCAACACTGTGCCAAGGAGCTCTTTTCCTTGTACTGAATGTTCCACAGCTGCTGCCTGTTATTTAATATAGAACTGCACCTATTTGCTACAGCTACAAATTTAATGTACAACAGTGGCAAAAACCTTTGAAAGCTAAGCTTCGTTCCAAAAGCACATTTTGCTATTAATATAAAAACAGAAAGCACTTGCTCCATAGCAATGGAAACAAAAATGGAGTGTGAATACACCCACTATTATTCATTCTTAAAAAAATATTTATACAGCTGGAGTCTGCATGCATACATGTCTCCCCCCACCCCATCCTCAGTTTTGTCTTCACGAGGAGGCCAGGCTGCAATGGGTCCTATAGTTCAACTATAGAGTTGAGCAAACATCTGAACCAGTCTTCTGCGTTTGAGTTCTAGTTTAGCCCCTACCCCATAAGGCTGAAGTTAACAGTTTCAGTGTACAGCAAATAGGATTTCAGGCAAGAAAATGTGGCAATGGGTGTGAGGGAGCAACAAGAGTTTCAGCTGCCATCTTGAGGAAAACATCTCCAAGTGCATACTATCCTGCAAGCCTTACTTGCAAGAACCCCTAGTGACTAAGACTCTGAATACTCCCTGATTTTGGACCCCATTGCCTACTCCCTTCTTCCCACCACATGCAAGTAAGATGAACGACTGGATAGGTCAGTGGTTTAGGTCTCTGGCTGCAAAACCGGGGGTGGAAGTTCGATTCCCCCACTAGGCCTCCTTGGGGCTGGACTCAAAAAAACCCCAAAGGTCTCTTCAAGCTGTGCAATTCTAAAATAAAAATGATGGTAATTGTAATTAAAAGCAAGGTTTCCTATTGGCAATTGCCTATTCCCTTCCTCCCAACACATGCAAGTAAGATGAAGTATGACTGGATATTTCAGTGGTTTAGGTCTCTGGCAGCAAAATCAGGGGTTTGGGAGTTTAATCCCCCACTGGAGTCAAAAAGCCCAAAGGTCTCTTCAAGCTGTGCAATTCTAAAATAAAAATGATGGTATTTGCAATTAAAAGCAAGGTTTCATTGGGGTTGTGTGTCTTCCAAGAGGTATTCAGAATTTTCTAGAGGCTTTACCCCCACTTATGTAAAAAGCTTAGTAAAAGGCTCAACTCCCAAGCCCTCCCATAACAAAAAAAGCTGCAATTTTCTTTTGATTTTCTGTATTTTCAGATTCTCAACCTCGCACAAAAACGTGCAGACCAACCACCACCCCCTGTTCCACCTCCAGCCCATTTCGTAGTTAGAAACCCGCGAACCAGAATAACCGACCCCGTTTCCCTCAAAAAAAAAAAACCCAATAAATAAAACAAGACCCCCAACCAAAAAAACCCAACCGCCCTCGTGGCGCAACTGAAATAAAATCGCGGCGTTCGGTTCTATATATAGACCTTGACCCGCCCTTGCCACGCCCATAAGCCCCGCCTCCAACCCCTGAGTGGCCAGCTCTCTCCTGGGGGCGGGGAAAGCGGAGGGAAAGGGAGTGAACCCTAGAGATAGGAAAAAAAGAAGAGCTTTGCCACCCTGACTTGTGCGTCCCCTCACTGTAAACCAGGCGCGAACCCAAGGCGGCTGTTTTCTGAGGAAAAAGTGAAGAACCTCTTACAAAAAATGGAGACGCTTTGGAGTGTCTTGGTGGTCCTCAACTTTGGGCCTCCAGATGTTCTTGGATTACAACTCCCAGAAGCCTTCACCACCACCTCTGCTGGCCAGGATTTCTGGGAGCTGAAGTCCAAGAACATCTGGAGGTCCAAGGCTGGGGACCACTGTGGGGTCATCTCGACACCCCTTTCACAAACGGAAGCATCCGTTCACTCCCTAATGGCGACTCTCTATTTCCTATATCTAGGTTGACAGGGGGCGGGGCAGTCAAGGGATCCTATTCAAGAAAATGGCGCCCGCAGCACTTCCGCTTCTCCCTCGTGCCTCCGGGCGGAAGAGGAAGCCGTGGCGCGCCGTCGCGGGGAAAGTGACGCAATCCGGGTGGGACGCTCTTTTCCATCTCTCCTGCTGAGAGCGCACGAGGTGAGTCGGTCCTCGGGCAGGGCGGTTGGACTCGATAGAGGCCTCTTCGAATTCCATTATTCTACGATTTTCTGCAAAATGTTAATGGATTTTCGAGACCAGGTTTTCTAAATTTTGTGATCTTGGCCTGGAGGTCCTCAGAAGCTTGTTTCGTTTAAAAGAACTGGAGTTGAAAATAGGTGGGATAATATAAATACAGATCCTACAAAATTTATTTTTATTTATTCCATTTGTATGCTGCCCGCAGCCTGCATGGGGTGTGTGTGTGGGGGGGTGGTCGCAATGACCAGATAGGTGGGGTATAAATAGAATAAATAAATGTAATGTAATATATCTAAACTCTGTAAGTTTTCTTTAGGTGAAGCATAGGAGAGCTATAGGAAGACATTCATTTTCTGTTTCAAGATTGCAAACTCAGTACTAGTGTAAATGCTTGAAAACCTCTGCCTAGTTTTGTGCACCTATTTTGACTTCCTATCGCAGGATCTGGGAAGGGTATTTGTTGCCTTTTACATAATTTCTTCAAGAGCAGTCTTGATCGCTTACTAGAGTGCTCAGCAATAATGCTCAACCATTAATAAGAACACACTTGTCCGCCTGCTTTCTCAAGGTGTCTTCCCTGAGAGACCATCTGAAGAGCCGTCCTTCGTAGAGACGGGAGAAGAAAAGCAAGTGGCGTGTGCTGGTAACTGAACATGTTGGCCCTCAAAGGCTTCTGGAGTTGAGCAAAAGCTGCAGCACGTTCTTAAGCCGCGAAATGAAGCCCTCGAGGCTTTGCTGGGAAAAGAGGAGGCTGCTCTCTTCAGCGCAGACGGAGCGAGTGCAGGAGAAGGTAGAAGTAAGAATTGGTGTAGGCTAACACAAGGCGGCTTCAAAAGCATTCCAACTCCTGGTATAAAGTATTCTCATTTTTGTTTTCTTTTTTATATTTATATGTCCTCTTTCTCTCCATAAGGGACCCAAGGCAGCTTACAGCAATTAAAATCATACATTAAGTTTTAAATCCCATACAGAACTATATATACTTTAAAATATCAGTATTTCAAAACATAGAACATTCCCTGTTCTGTTCTGTATTTTGCTCTGTTTCATGAGAGAACTAGAGCTTTCAAGCCATGTGCTCTCCTCGCCCGGCATCAGAGGATCTGGCTGTTTGCAGCCCTTTATCCGCCCAACCCTATGCAGCTGCGTCAAATTCATTGCCCACCTTTCCTGTGGTGGGGATTGGTCCAAACAGCTGCCACAGCAATATCTGTAGTTCATGGGCCTCAGAACTCTTGGTGGGCTCTGGGGATAGTTTTATTGCAGACATGGTTACCGTCCCCTCCTTCCCCTCTGAATCATTGTTTGCACTTTTAGCAAGATGTCCAAATGAAAACCTTGTTGATACAGGAGAACAGGGGAATTTTTTGTTCTTTGCAGCCAAAATAACCTCTCCTGTCGGTTATGATCACAGTAGAGTGCTTTTTTTAAAAAAAATAAATCAAGTGCTTTCTGTCTTAAACTTGGAATAGATGGAGATGAAGTGAGCCATTCTTAAAGAGAGATCTGTCCCATTTTTGCCATTTTGTGTTCTGGAAAATTATCTTTTAAAACAGCTGTATATTTCCTCCCCGCCCCTCCTTTTTTATCTCTAAACAGAAGCTGAATCTGGTCAAGCCCCAGTGAGCCAAACCATGACATCACAGTGAGATGACATAAAGCATTTAATATCTATATCAAGACCTTTGCAGGCCTTGAGAAACTCAAGATTCCCTTTAGTAGAGAGGTAAGTGGCCGGGCTAAAGAATGGGGTTTGGTGGTGACAAACATTTCTTACAGGGTAGCTGAGCTTGATGGTAAAATTATTTGCATCTGTGTCTTCCTAACTAAGCATAACTTCCTGGACTCTCATGACGCTGGTAAGAGCCAATATGCTCCATGTGGGTTGAGTGCGAAATTTTGGCCAAAATGGTAACTTCTGGCAATCCGCAAATAATTACTTCGGGCAAGTTGTGAATAAAGACAGTTAATAAGTAACTGTACGCTCTGCTTCATAAAACACTTCTCAGACACCCCATTTCATCTGAATCTGATATTTTGTGATGCAGCCATGTCAAATTCAGTGCTCACCTGTGCTGTGGTGGGGGCTGGCCCAGCGGCTGCTACAAAAAACATGTGGTTCATGGGCTCCAGATCTGTGCTGTTGGATCTGGGGATAAAAGCATGCCGCAGACAAATGTAATGCCAGGGCCCCTATTCCAGAGTCGCAGCAGTATCTGTCACTTCACTAGCACCAGAAAGACAGACGTTTGTAATCCTGAAGAGGACAGGATGTGTTTTCCTGCCGAAAGCTTGATCTTTTACTGCTTTATTAAAGTTTTTACAGTGGTGCCTCGCTTAACGAGGAAATCGCTGTACGATTAGGTTTTTGCAATCGCAAGACTGATCTTTTACTGCTTTATTAAAGTTTTTACAGTGGTGCCTTGCTTAACGAGGAAATCGCTGTACAATTAGGTTTTTGCAATCGCAAAACAATGGTTTAAATGGGGTTTTTCGTTTAACGCTGATTGGTTCCCTGCATCGGGAACGGATTTTCGCTTTACGACAATCAGCAAACAGCTGATCGTCGGCTTTCAAAATGGCCGCCAGCTGAAGAAAATGGGCCCCCTGCTGATTTCTAGGACGGATTCCTCACTTTATAGGCACCAAAAATGGCCGCCGTATGGAGGATCTTCACTGGACGAGCAGGTATTTAGCCCATTGGAACGCATTGAACGGTTTTCAATGTGTTTCAGTGAGGTTTTTTTTTTAATTTCGTTTGACGATATTTTCATTCTACAGCGATTTTGCTGGAATGAATTAACATCGTCAAGCGAGGCACCACGGTACTTGGAAGCTCAACCTGTGAAACTTTTTTGAGCCCATTCAGTCTATTGGGTCTTGGCACTGTTCCTCTTTTTTCTATGATGCTCCAAGAAAGTAGAAAGGCTTTCAAACTGAATGGTGCTGGAGAGAACAGAGTAGAGTGGGGTGGAAGCCTTAAAAGATGTGGACTTTATGCTAAATTTGGAGTGTGTGAACGCTTAGGGCTTCATAGCAGTGGTTCCCCACCTTGGAACCATCTGCTTCTCCATCGCTCCTGACACACCTTTCTGACTAAATTGGTTTTTATTGATTCATTTAATAGAGCTCTTCCTTGGATTATTATAATCCATTTCCTCAGATGCCAGGTGTGTCTGAGGGCTGGATTGTTATCCACAAAAACTCACCCAGAAACAAACCTGTTTAAAGTCTCACAATACTTTGAGTTTGATCTATCGATTGTATTGATCGGCCACCTTTCTCCCGATAAGAGGACCTCAGGCGGCTCATAATATTAAAAGAACAGATTTAAAAATAGAGTAAGTTTTGATGTTTCTCTGGTTTTCTCTAGACAGACTGAAAAGGACTAACACTACTATCTCTTTTTTTTTAAAACAGGTGTGGTTTTTTTGGCATGTGGGTTTTGTCCTGTGCAGCTTATTCATATCTATGCACCGGACCACGTAGGTGACCCTCCACGCAAATAGGCCTGACTTGAACGTGAACCTCAAGAGGTCCGCCTCCCTTTCCGCAAAAGTGCTATGAGGTCTATTTTACCTAGAATGCATGATGCCCCTTTATCGGAATGGCAGGCCCACTGACCAATGGGTGTTCAGCGAAAGCGGTATCTTTTGATTGGTTAGACGCGTCCTGGAAAAGGCAGACTTCTTTATCATTCAGACCACGGCACGCCAAGTCAAGCAAAAAGCACGGCAGACCTGAGCTTGGTGGTCCCGTCATCATGGAGACGCTGCTGTCCCAGGCCGAACAGCTGCCCGGCCTTTTGGCGGCTTCTCGCTCGGGACTGGTGCGGAACTGGGACCCGGCAACCCTGACAAGAGCCCTGAGCTGGGGGCGCTTCTTCCGAAGGCTCCACGGCCGCCTCCGCGCTCAGCCAGGCCTCCGGGCCGCTTTGGAGCGGCGCCTGAACCGGGCCGGCCTGTTGGGAGTCGGCCATTGGAGGCGCTGCCCAGAACTTCTGGCCTTGGCCTTGCTGGAGAACCGGGCGCTCCCCTCTGCCGCCCGCCACCGCTTCTTGCGTGGCCTCTTGGCCCCGGCGGGGGGACCCAAGGAGGAGGAGGAGCCCTTCGTCCACCTCCTGGCCAGGCGGAAGGCGGCCTCCCAGCTGCTGCTTCTTCATTTGCCTCCTCTGGCGATGACCGAGGAGGAGTCCGACGATGCCGGGGGGCGGGATGGCCCCGTGGCGAAAACTCAGGCTCAGCTGCTCCTGTCTCGTCTGCGAGAGGAGAGCCACGGAGAAGGCGGCCACGATGACGTCTCTCCTTCTGCTGCCCTCCTCGCACAGCTTCCCAGCGGCCCGACTCTGTACAGGGCGGTGGCGGCCGCCTTGCTAGAGCCCTCCAGGGAAGTGGAAGCGAGGGCCACCCTGCTCCCTTGGCTGCTGGGCGATCAGGCCCGCCTGGCTTCTTTCTGCCGCCTCTTGCCCGCCCCTCGGATGGCCTTGCTGTGCAGGCGTCACCCTGAGCTGAGCTCCCCTTACTTGAAGCTCTTGGCCTCTTGGGGAAGGCATCTTGTTTATGACCCCCTACGTGGGGAGTGGAGGACCAGCGGCTCGGAGGAAGAAGGCCAGGTGCCTTGGCATGAGCTGCGGGAACGCGTCCGCTGCCTCTGGCAGGACCCGGGGCCTCCAGGCAGTGCCATTCGGACCCAACTGAAACAGCTGAAAGCCCAAGAGGGGGACTTTGACGTCCCAGGTCTGAGTATTTGGAGTGACCTCCTCTTGGACATGGAGACCTCTGCATCATCAGCAAAAGAAACCAAGTGTACTCCCCCCCCCCCGGGAGCTGAGCCAGCTGAACAAAAACAAAGATGTAATTCTTTAACTTTCTGAAGATGACTTGATCCTTATGTTTGACTTACATCTATTGCTTTAATATCTAGCAGCAGGCTTCTAAAATACAAGATCCTCAAGCTCTTACTCTTTAGGAGCTGCTTCAGACTGAGAGTCCCTCGTGTAAGACAATGGACACTTCCTGATCGGGAGCTGAGCCAGCTGAACAAAAACAAAGATGTAATTCTTTAACTTTCTGAAGATGACTTGATCCTTATGTTTGACTTACATCTATTGCTTTAATATCTAGCAGCAGGCTTCTAAAATACAAGATCCTCAAGCTCTTACTCTTTAGGAGCTGCTTCAGACTGAGAGTCCCTCGTGTAAGACAATGGACACTTCCTGATTGTTTTCCATTGTGTTTTTCCTTTGGGTGACTTTCCTGTATTGTGTTCTTCCAACTTCCATGCTTTCCTCTTGACTACAAATTATTTTATTTAGTGTACTTAGGAGATCCTTCTGCAGCCTAAAAGGTAAAAGAATCCTAAAGAGAAAAAATGGGTAGTCCTTTTCATGTCTTGAAAGCTACTGTTGTGAATATGGGACTAGTTTTTGAGAATCTTCTCAGGCTTATGAAGACCAGCCAAAATGTCACAGAGTCATGAACAACTGCACTGAAGGAAGGAGACAAAGAAAAATCTTCACTTGTCATGAACTCAGCCTCTTCTTTCTTTTGTGATCTTTTGGTTGATCCTAATGAACGTATTAGCTTGAATGTATTTTGACATTTTTCTCACGGAATGACTTAGCCTCCTCTCTTCTTGTGTATTTAATGTAGGTGAGTCTACAGCTGACTTTAAAGAAAAATGAACATTTGGATTCTGGAACAGCTTTCCTTTTGAACAACCACAAATTGCACCCAAAATATTTGCAGTTGCTAGCTATTTTAAAAGTAATACTAAATACAAAGATAGCTGTATGCATTCCAAAAGAACGGTTATTAAACTTGCTGTGTTGGGGTAAATCTAGGAAAAATCCTAAGGAATCGGAGGTGTTTGTACTTCTCCTCTCATTCGCCATGAGCATAATTAGCATTAAAATAACTGAATCGTATTTGACACTGTCATTAATTGCGCAGATTACTTGTACTGCAATAGTGTGAATCTTCACTCTAGTCCTGGTGTATTTCTATAAATAAAAGCATTGTTTTTCTTGACTTCTATTCCATTCATATGTGCCTGTAATCTATCTGCTCTCAGCATATTTAGATGATGCCCATGTACAGGCTGGAACCTGGGCTATGCCACAATGACTTTCATAAATTTCATAAAGTCAAATAGATTCAGGTGTGATTATTATATACGTTCAGTATGACATCCACGTGGACCAGGAGCGGGTAACTGCTGCCCTTCAGATGATGTTAGATTACCATTGGCATCAGCCCTAATCATCGTAGCTAATGGGAAAGGGCAAGAGGAGTTTCAGTCTAACCTTGTGCAGAGGGATATATACTACCTAGGCCTTGTAAGATATGGAAATTCTGGCTAGAAATAACACCCTTTTTTCTTTCATTTCCAACTCTTATGTTGTTTTCAATGCAGCAGCAAAAGACAACACAGTTCCAATACTGAAAGTTAAAATCCATTTTGGTGAGCTGGTCAACGCATATTGGCTTGCCCAGTCGTCATATCTAGAACTAAGCATACTTGTTTCTATTTGTAATTTTGTGGAAGACAGGAGGTGCTGGCATCCTCTGGTCTGTGGAGTCACGAAGAGTCTGACACGACTAAACAACGAGATCAAGCTACTCTTGCCTTAAGTAATGTGCCACTGCTAATTACAGAGATTCTGGAGTATGTCTGGCCAGGCATGCAGCCACCCAACTGAGATGCTTTTAAGAGATTTTAATGTATTTATGTGTTAAAATTAGCTCAAAAAGCACTTTAAGACAAGTTGGGGGTGGGGAGAAGCAGGTCATGCAAGAAAATATCACAGCTCCCTCTTCTGCCTAATACCATCAGTATAAAGAATAGTGTAGCTCTGAAGTATACACAGAGTACCTCCCCACTGGATCAGTGTAGCAGAACAGGCACAACATGTAATATCTTAAGAGTAAGCTAAGCCAATTGGTGCAAGACGAGGTGATCCCTTTCTAGGCCCCTAATTTTAAAAAAATACAATATGCAAGCTTTTGTGGGTAAATTCTACATCTTCAAAGCAAGTGCTCGGAAGTCCCAATGTTTGTGGCAAGATGGGGTTTGCCAGGAGATGACTCTTAAGAGGGCAAGATGAATTTTGCCAGTCACCTCTGCCTTGGATGAGGCAGGAAGCGGTAAGGTGGTGGTTTTAAAGTTACGTCTGGGGTACGACTGACTGACCAGTCAGAGAAATTGTTTGCATTTTGCACTGTTAGGGCATGTTCCTCTGTGAACAATTTCCCAGCAAGACAATATGCACAGGAGATCACAAACCGGTCCAGCCCTGCTCTGGGCCCAAGCTGGATCTTTTTGGTCCACTGGCTGGGTTGCTTTTTTGGAGGGCTGGACAAATTCCTGCAGGATCATTTTAAGAGACATCTCTCCCAGCAAAGCAACGCTTTCTCGTGTGACCCGTGGTGATGCTTTCTCAGTGATCACCCCCTAAAGTCACTTTTTAAGCCCCTAAGTCCCATTGCCAGAGTCTTCCAGGCTAAAAACCAATCGAGTTTCTTAGAAGAATCATCAGGCAGGCAAACACAAGTCCCCCCCCCCAATACACAATTGAAGCTGTTCCTCTAACTGAAGGCACACAGAGGATTGATTCTAAGATACATGCCATTTCCCCTATTCCCCTGCTCAGTTTTCGACATATCAGGTCATATTTCATTTATTTCAATAACGTCTTATCATACGAGTTCACTTTTGGCTGGACATAGCCAACCTTTTCCATGTAAACCCATCAAAATNAAAAACTGTCCGGGGGGGGGGGGGTTAAAAGTTCATAACTGTTTCTTCAGATTGATGTTCTGGCCTCTTCTGCTATCCTGTCAGGATGAGACAGTAGCAAAGGAGATGCAGACGCGTTTCAAGTAGGGCGATTTGCCGACTCCTGTTCCTGAGAGCCTGCTTTGCTGGCCACAGCCATGGCATGTTCTTTTCTCAGAAAAAGGTAAAAAAGGAAAACAGCCGTGATAATCTTCTCCACGGTGATTCCGATCCATAAACCAGCAATCAGAGAGAGACCTGCAAAAGATGGGGGGGGGGGGGGGGGAGAAAGTAGAACTGCTGTTGAAAAGGAATATATTCAAAGTTCACAAGACATAAAGCTCCTTTGTTGTTATTTATTCGTTTAGTCGTGTCCAATTCTTTGTGACCCAATGGAGGGCAGCAACCAAAGTCATTTCTGTACCTACAGTGGAGTTCCTATCATAAAACCTAATTACTTTGGTTTAGCCTTAATGGGAAAAGGGACGTGGTGGTGCTGTGGGTTAAACCGCAGAAGCCTCTGTCCTGCAAGGTCAGAAGAACAGCCGTTGTAAGATCGAATCAACGCGACGGAGTGAGCTCCCGTCGCTCGTCGCAGTTCCTGCCAACCTAGTCATTCAGAACCATGTAAAAATGTGAGTCAATAAATAGGTACCACCTTGGTGGGAAGGTCACAGCATTCCGTGTCTAGTGCTGGTCACATGACCACAGAAACTCTACGCACAAACGCTGGCTCTATGGCTTGGAGATGGGGATGAGCACCATGCCCTAGAGTCGGACACGACTGGACTAAATGTCAAGGGGAACCTTTACCTTTACCTAGCCTTGATAGGGGGTCTTTACTTCTCAGTTTGATCCACATGCAAAACCCTGCATCTTGTCCATTAGTCCAAACTTAATAGGTCTCAACCAGCGCTTTGAAACAGCCTTGCAAACAAACAAGACCAGGAACGGTTGTTGTGGGTTTTTCGGGCTTCTTGGCCGTGTTCTGAAGGTGGTTTTTCCTAAAGTTTCGCCAGTCTCTGTGGCCGGCATCTTCAGAGGACAGCAAACCCACAACAACCATTAGATCCCGGCCGTGAAAGCCTTCGCGAATACAAGACCAGGAACCCTTGGAGGGATGTTCTCAGTAAAATTGATCCCGGTCAGCCATTTGGCTGTACCAGCGGACGTCTTTGAACGCACAGGACGGCGTGGCAGCCATCCAAATGGGAGGTACAGCAGGACGCCTGTATTTGCAGGGGATCTGTTCGAAAGACTCCCCACAGATGCTGAAAAACGTAGATGATAGCAAACGCTATGTACATAGCATGGTCTCTGGCTCCCTTTAGAGGCCAGTTCTACTAACTTCATCTTTAGAAACATATTTTTCTTTTAATATTTTCAGATGGTGAGTAAGAGACTCCATGGCTAGTGATCCTCAGAATAGGAGGGTCCTGCTGTATCACCCTAAGGAGTCAAACACTTCACTGTGCCACCTGTATGATCTTGGCAACCAGCTTCATGGATGAATTCAGGAGAAACCCGTGTGTGTGTTTAGTTGTTTAGTCGTGTCCGACTCTTCATGACCCCACGGACCAGAGCACGCCAGGCCCTCCTATCTTCCACTGCCTCCCAGAGTTGTGTCAAATTCATGTTGCTTGCTTTGCAGACACTGTCCAGCCATCTCATCCTCGGTCGTCCCCTTCTCCTCTTGCCGTCACACCTTCCTAACATCAAGGTTTTTTCTTTACAGCATCGGACTTTCCTTTCACTTCTAGGCGCGTCCGCACCTGAGCATCCTTTCGGCTTTGTCCAAACCACTTCATTAGCTCTGGAACTACTTGTACTTGTCCTCCGCTCTTCCTCAGTAGCATGTTGGACGCCTTCCGACCTGAGGGTCCCATCTTCCAGCGTCATATCTTTTATCCTTTTGTTTCTGATCATGGGGCGTTCTTGGCAAAGATACTGGAGTGGCTTGCCATTTCCTACTCCAGGTGGATTGCGTTTAGTCGGAACTCTCCACTATGTCCTGTCCGTCTTGGGTGTCCCTGCACGGCATAGCCCATAGCTTCTCTGAGTTACTCAAGCCCTTCGCCACAACAAGGCAGCAATCCATGAAACCCACAAGCTGTGAAACTGAATAGCCAGAGGCAACATCGCCCCACCAAGTACTGGGGGTGGGTGGGGGCCGCCCCCTATTCTCTGCCCGGCCTTCCGACTGACCAGGCAAAGGTCTGCCCTGTTTGGATGAAGTGGTAGCCGCAGCTGGTCTATAACTGAAACAAGAAAGTGAGTTTAGAGCTGAAATAGCTTCCGCGGGTTTAGATGGAAAAGGGGTCTCTTCTGGGTATTGATGGCCCTGGAACTTTACCACCACCTTCATGGCAATGTTAAATACAATGAGGGACAGGTCGGAGGCCTGAACAAGCCCCCCAAATGCCAGGGGCCAAAGAGGAGCCCCCCAGCGATTACCCTCCTGGGTCTGCCCTTCTAGGAAAGTCTGAAATCGCTGTGCCTCCAGGTCCCATCCCAGACATTCTACAGCCTTTTATCGTTTGTAAAAGTAACTTCAGATCCTGAAGCTGAGGCTCCAATACTTTGGCCATCTCATGAGAAGAGAAGACTCCCCGGAAAAGACGCTGATGTTGGGAAAGGGTGAAGGTAAGAGGAGAAGGGGACCACAGAGGACGAGATGGCTGGACAGGGTCATCGAAGCGACCAAGCTGAATTTGACCCAACTCCGGGAGGCAGTGGAAGACAGGAGGGCCTGGCGTGCTCTGGTCCATGGGGTCACAAAGAGTCGGGCACGACTAAACGAAACGAAACGAAAAGTAACTTCCCTTATTTTTTTGGTGGTTGGAAGAGACACAGAAAAAAAATGCAGTACTTTTGGAAGCAGGTACAAAATTGTCTTGGAATGAAACAAGAAGAGGGGAGGTTTTTTCCCAATATTTCTTCAATGGAACAAACGGTGCTCGGGGTCCCTCTTGTGATGCATGTTAGGTAATGCCGGTTCAGCGTCTCCCTGGCTGCTCAGTGCTTATGTTTTCCGCCGTCCTTTCTAGGAGCTTCAGGCATTTTTATGATTGACATCCCCAGCATTGATTGCGTTTCTCTGCTTTTTGCGGCGACGGCGGTTTAATATCTCCTGCTAGTTTGATTCTGATTTTTATCTCACATTTTATCGTGGCGGCCTGTTAGCACGCTGATCTTTGGGCGTTGTTAGTTTGGTTCTCTGCCGGGCCTGTCCCTGTTTTATTGGATGGTTTAA